TTAAAAAATCTGAATATAGCCTACAGGGTCAGCTCAGCTTCTTACCATAAAAACATGAAAAAATGCAGTTTTCATCAGGTAAGAACCCAGTTATCCCTACTATTTTATTTTTGAAGCTACACGAGAAGAAAGTCTGGTATGGACAGAGTTTGTAGAGGATTATTTCAGGCCCTATTTAGAATGTGGGTCTTTAACATGTGCTAGTTACAGCAGACATTATAAGAAATAACCCTTTTTATAATCTAGAACTTCCTCAAGACGCGGAAAGCCGTTTGCTATGGGAAGCAGGAGAATGATGGCATCCTCTGAAATCTCACCATATTACCATTGTTTCCTAAATAACTTGAATGTTGAGCAGCTCACATTTTTTTTGAGAGAGAGACTGTGTGAGCAGGGGGGTGGCAGAGGGAGAGGGAGAGAGAGAAACCTCGGCATTACACCCAGTGCAGAGCCGATGCGGGGCTCCGTCTCCGAGCCCTGAGATCATGACCTGATTCGAAATCAAGAGTTAGACGCTTAACAAACTGAGCCACCCAGGTGCCCCAAGCAGCTCATATATAAGAGATTAAATCTTGAAAAAAGAAAAAAGGAAAAGGGGGCAGCTACCAGTCATTTATTGTGAAAGTATTTATGAACCACTAAACTCTGTGCCGCTGGGCACTGTTTAGTTGCCAGGTATGTGACAGACGTGGGTCCTTGGGCTCTCTAAGTAATGGAAATTGACAGGAGGCCAAAAGGGAATTCCAGGCAAGGCTTTTGTGAGGGCTTATGCACAAGGGAGACAGCATAAGGGGGAAGTGTCCTGCAGGCTGGCTCTCAGACCAAAGGCCAGGGAAAGTTTGCAGGGGGGTTGGTGGGAGAGGGGGGACATCTGAGCATGTTGGGGCAGGGAGAGACAGGAGGTGGGCATGCAGGCACAGTGGACAGAACATGCTTCTACATGTATTGCCTGTCTCTCTTAACATGTCACCTGTCCACCCTGGGCATGATTTTTAGTAGTATAATGAGGAAGTAGGTGGAGGAAATTCAGCACTGGGGTCCATCTTGGCACAGACTGGTTTGGTCCAGTCTTCCCCAGTCTTTGTAGTCCCTCATTTCAGTGGGCATCCTCCCTTTGCATTCCTGCAAGATAATACTATTCAAGGGGCAGAGAGTTTTAGCTATCGTAGAAGGTGTACTACTCAAAGGGCAGAGCTCTGTGGGTAATGCTGGGTTTGGGTTAGGATTGAGGGGATCGGAGTCCAAGCCTTCCTCTGCCTCAGGTACAGAGCAGGCAAAAATCTCTGCCCTAAAAAAGGAAAAAAATCCCTGCCCTCATGGAGCTTGCATTTTTGGGGTAGAGAGAATGAGATACTGAACTAAGTAAAACGTGTAAGACAGTGTTATGCATGTTAGAACTTTAATCACAGGACCATGTTTAGAAAATGCTGTCGAACAAAATAAAGCTGGAAGGAGTAGTCGTGCTGGGTTGTGCTTGAGGGGGTTGAGTTTTAGAGGTCAGGTAGGCCTCGGTAAGAAGGTAACTTTGGAGGAGGTAAAGAAGGTGCAATGTAAATATCTGGGGGAAGATCGTCCAGGGTGGAGGTTTCAGCAAGTGCAAAAGTCCTGAGGTCAGAGCATGCTGGCTACTGGAGGAACCTAAAGAGGCAGAGAGAATGGAATAAAGAGAATGAAAGGTGGAGAGACAGGTCTTCTTGGCCTTTGCAGGGCATTTTAGTGCTTGGGGTTTTTAGTCTAAGTACAAGAGAAGCCATTGGAGGGTTTTAAGTAGGGGAGTGTTGATGATCTCATTTAGCTTTTAACAAGACCATTTGGCTGTGTTGAGGACAGTCTGAAGGGAGCAGATGATGGAAGCGAGAGACCAGTTTTTGTAGGCTATTATGTAAGTCCATGAGAGGTGGAAGTTGCCTGGACCAGGGGGTAGCGGTGGATGAATTCTAGAATAATTTGAAGATAGAGCAGCCTGGGTTTGCTGGCAGATGTGGGTGTGAGAGGAAGAGAACATACTTTAAGATTACTTCAAGGTTTCAGTCTGAGCATCCGAAAGATGAGTTGTCCTTAACTTAGATGGGAAGACTGTGGGAGGAATGAGTCTGAAGATTAGGACTTAACTGTACTTGACATGACAAGTGGAGATGTCACAAGTTAGTTGAATATCCAAGAGAAAAGTCTGAGCCGGTGAATTGGGAGAGGTCTGCATGTGGCAGCATTTAAAAGAAGAAGACTGGATGAAGCCACCATCAGAGTGGATGTAGAGAGGAAGGGAAGAGTTCCAAGGACGGAGGCATGGGACACTCCAGTGTGAAGATGTCAGGAAGAAGGCCCAGCAAAGGATGCAGAGGCATGGACAGTGAAGCAGGAAGCGAATTAAGAGGGCATGATCTCTGAAAAGTGAAGAAAACGTTTTAAGCAGAGAAGGGGGAGGGATTGATCAAATTGCGAAGTAGTGCTTATGGGTCTAGATAAGGTTGTAAAAGAACTAACCATCGTATATACTATCATGATGTCTCTGGAGAATGAGTAAAGCAGTTCCACAAAGTGGCGGAAGTAAGAGCTCCAATGATTAGACTGGGTTCAAGAGAGAATTAGAGAGGGACTGGAGACCGCAAATAGGGACTTTTTAAAAATCTTTTCAAAGTAATCTCTACATCCACCATGGGGCTTGAACTCATGACCCTGAGATCAAGAGTCGTATGCTCTACTGACTGAGCCAGTGAGGCGCCTGGGGACTTTTTTTTTCTAAGATAGGAGAAATAAAAGCATATTTTATGCTGATGAAAAGACCTTTGCTTTTCCAGTGAGGGACCTAGCCTTGTCACGCACGCTCCCTTTTTTGGACTTCATATTTGGGTATTTGCTGTTTGTTGGGGCCCTCATAATAGGGAATCCGAACTGATAGGAAGCTGAGGATTGTGAAATCCAGCTTCTTTCATAGGCAGAATGCTTCTCTTCCCCCAAACTGTTGATCCCCATTGCTCTGGGGAAACAATGTAGATGTGGTCAAGATGTTCCATGGAATTGCATTTCTCTCATTTATTATTTGCATGGTTCCTTATATTTGTGATTTGGTGCTCTATCTCAACTCCATGGATCACACCTTTCCCCTATTTCTGTAGGATGATGGTTCTTCACGGATTCTTCATTACTCCTGCTTCAAAGGAATGACAGTGACCAAAGAAGTCTTAAAAATTTAGTGTGAACCCTGTGGCAGTCATAGGCTGTTCACAGAAATGTTCCTCCCATCTGGCCACATGGTGGGAGCGTGGCTCTCAGATAAGACTGTGCAATGTGTCCTAACCAATGAAATGTAAGCTACGTGATGTTTGTCACTTCCTAGTAGAATCGTCGAGAACCAGGCCTCTGTCGGCAACGGCGGCGAAGCATGTGTGGGGATGAAGCCTCTGTCAGCCAGGGTCCGAGTCATAGCACCGAGCACGACCCCCTTGCCAACCCTGGATAGACCTCTCGTATGAGAAGTGAACTTAAGTTTTATTCCTTTTATTTTGGGACAGCAAAACCCAATGTACCCCAAATGACACAATGCCTAAGCAAAAATGAACTGATGTTTCAGTCTCCATTATAACCAGCAGATGACCAAGTCTAGGATATGAAAGTTTCACTTTCCCACACCAGGGGCAAAGAAGACCCGGTAACAGGTGGTCAAACTTCACCCACAGTCAGTTCTCCATTCAGTAGAAAAATGATGGAACCTTTAAAATGTTAACGTTGTTTTAGAGATACTGCTCTCCTAACTAGGAGGAGAACTTTTCTTCAAGAGACCTAGTGGGATTACCAAAACGAAGTTTAGTTCATTTCAAACTTTGTTCTCTGGGCCATCTGCATTAGATCCTCCAGGCATGCTCATTCCAAACACAGAGTCCCTGGTTTTGGCCTCCAAGAAGAATCCTGTGTTTCTTAACTCCTAGGAAGTACTATAATCTTGATCTTGATTTATATGTGTGGCCTAAAACAAAAATATATTTGGTCTTTGTCCTAGGTTCCTGCCACAGAGCTGCTAAAACTTCAAATTTCCTGAGTTAGTGACTTGTGTTATTCATAATAAGCCCGATTTTATGCTAATGAGGTCACTTAGGGAGGGGGCTCCCAGATAGCCTCAGGATTGAGCTGGTCACCGGAAAGACCAAGGGATTGGACCTCTTGACCAACCTCCAGAAGCAGATGTCGGGGAGGGTGCTGGAAATTGAGCTCTGTAAACTCTGGCACAGAGAGATTCAGAGAACTGGGTTGGTGAACACATGGAATTGTTGGGAGGATGGCATGCCCCTGCATCCCTCCCCTTCCTTGCCCTATCTGACTCTTTCATTTGGTTGTTCCTGAGTTACATCCTTTATAATAAGCAGGCGCATGGAAGTAGTGTTTTCTGGAGTTCCTGGAGCCATTCTAGCAAATTATCTAACTTAAAAGAGAAGGGAGTTGTGGGACTCCCCCTTCCCTACCAATTTTATAAACAAGTTGGAAAGAAGTGTGGGTAACCTGGGACTCAGTACTTGGGACTGGCATCTGAAGTGAGTGACGGCAGTCTTGTGGGACTGACAGTAACTCTGGGTAGTGTTAGAATTGAACTGAACTGTAGGACATCCAGTTGGTGTCCAGAGAATCAGAGAATTGCCTATAGGTATTGGAAAACATGCTAGAAATATGCTACCAATATAACACTGAGGTATATTTTTTGGTTTTTTTTTTTTTAATATTTTATTTATTTATTTATTTATTTATTTGAAAGAGAGCGAGAGAGCACGAGGGTGGGGAGGGGCAGAAGGGGAGGGAGAAGCAGACTCCCCGCTGAGCAGGGAGCCTGACACGGGACTCGATCCTGGGACCCTGCAATGATGACCTGAGCCGAAGGCAGATGCTTAACTGACTGAGCCACCTGGGCGCCCCACTGAAGTACATTTTCAACAGAGTGTCTGATGGACTTTATACATGCTTCAGTATCACAGAAGAAATGTTAGTGTAAGAGACAAATCATAATTCTGCATAAAAGAATTTTATTTAGTTGTCAGATCCCAATGCCAGTCATTGCTTGATTCTGCTAAACTGTGCTATTTAGATATACTCTTAAGAAAGTGTAGAGTGCATCACCAAAAGCTGTTTAATTTGGATTGCGTAGAGTAAAAGAAAACTCCATAAATCTTTGTTTTCTGATAAAATTTTTTAAAATATAAAAATGAAAAAACAAACCCAAAAACAGTATTCAAAAATAATAAATGTCACCTTGGACTATTTACAGTAAGATGCCTTTTTCCTAGGAGAATGCTCTCTGCTTGATTCTTTTCCTCACATTTCACCTATCACTCATAGGTGTTCTCACCCCGATCTGATCCTTCTCTAGGATTTTTTCCATTCCTGTCTTGCTTGAAACAGTCACCTCTTCTCTCATCTTTGAATCTTTCTCTGATACTCCTTTCTCCTACGCTTAAATTACCAGTAACTCTATTTAACAACATTTGTTGAGCACCTCTATGTGCCAGGCACTGTGCTGGGAGGCAGAGAGAAATACAGAGATGAAAAGTCATGGACCCGTTCCTCAAGAATCTGAGTTTGGGTTGAATTAAAAAACAATCTTTTTCACATTATATTCCATGAGATCCCAGGCTCCTGTGAAGTACATTTGGGGACTTCTTGAAACAAAGTGCACTCATGGAGGGTCTGTCAATGTGGCCCACTCCAGGGCATTTTGAACTCAGAATTCTGCTCTTTATGAAGCACAGCCTCAAAAGCCTAGGTCTATGGTTTGCGTTCTAAACTCTTAGCGGGTGAAACGTGTATGTTGGGCGGTGGGGGATCAGCCGTGCCAGTTTGTTTGGGGGAAAGGTGATTTGGTTTCTACAAATTCCAAGTATGAAAAAGCCCTTAAACCCTCCCCCCCCAAATACTAAATTTGAGCTATAGATATATATTAAGTAGCTCTGCCTTGATCTGGACTTATAACAAGATGCTCTAAGACTCCTTTTGTAAATGTCCAGCAGGAGCTCTTCCTATTACCTCCACAAATATTTCTTTGTGCTTTTCTGTGAACATTTTCTTAGCTTTGAACATAAAAGCAGCAAATGAAGCCTGCAGGTCACCTTTTTTTTTTTTTTTTTTTTTTGCTTTTATCATGGTTGAACCCAAAACAAGCTCAGCTCTTTCATTTGGCCTACATCTTCTTTGTCCATGAGGTCTTGAGAGACCCACGGTAGTTACTTAAAAAAAGAAGGCAAACTATGAAATATAAAACAAAAGCTGTACATAGCATACTATGGAAGCAAAAACGAAACCATACCCTCACTGCCCCCATCTTGTTCCATGCCTGGCAGACCACGTCCCTACGAATATTCACATTTGGAAATATTTCTCAGTCACAGTAAAGTCCAAATCACGGTGGTGGGCTTGTAGCATATTCCTCTCATTGACTCCACACAGCTGACCACTGAACAGTGATGAAGGGAGTTTTTATGGGGAAGTTCTTGATGATACTCAGTCCATTCAAGAGTATTAGTGCCAGATTCAGAACTTCCTCATGAGCTGGTTCCAAGCCCTTTGGATCTGAAGGCAACTTTGGGAGTTGGCATTATTCCCATGTTACATCGGGCCTGCCCTGCTCTGTGGCAGGGTGATCACAATGTCTGAAATACGGGAAGAGAATGAGAAGAGCAGGGAGTACTGGGGGAGAGAGGGAAAAGAGAAGTGATCACGCACAAGCTTCTTGCTCTGTCGTGCATATATTTTCAATGTAACAGCAGGTATTCCGACACATAAGGGCTTGTGCTTTTTCGTTAAAGAAGTAACTTGCCCTGAAAAGCTCATTTGGCAAATGTGGCCATGAACGTGTGTGTGTGTGTGTAAAATGTGTGATGAGGTTATGGACCAAGTCCTGTGGGTGTGGCCTTCTGGCTCCTTCCCCCAGCACACCCACCTCACAGGCAAGGAAAAGCTGATAGGTTACACCTGGTCGGTTTGATACTCAGAAGCTTCGGACAGGCTTTCCGAAAAGCTTAGGAAATTCTCCTGGTACTCAGAGCAAACAATCTCGTAACGGTAATGCCGGAACTCCACAGCAAAAGTGCCAAAATAAGACAGGAAGCACATGACCAGACCCCACTGGACCCTGGCTGCGTACATGTGGATGCCTTGGGCCATGAGTATGAAATCTGAGGAGCAGCAGTCAAGGGAGGTACCACCATCAGCCGCATTAAAACTGGGCTCTTTTCTGGACAGGGACAGGCCACAAGAAAAGGCTCATTCCCCGCCCCCCCCCCATCAGCAGAACTTAGCTTGACAGCTTGCTGAACACACCACTTGCATGAATAATACGAAGTAACGTTACTGAGCTCTTTGTGCCAGACATGTGTCTAGGTGCTTGCATGGAAAATCTAACTTAATCCTCACAGCAATCCTATTATCATCAGTTCATTTTAAAAAATAGGGAAACTGAGTCCAGATGGTTAAGTAACTTGCCTGAGGTCACCGAGGTGTTAACTGGTAGAGCCGGAATTCAAATACAAGGACTCGGACTCCCGGGCCAGGCATGCAGCTCTTACCGCTGCCTAATAATCTGTGAGATTAGCAAGAGGATTAAAACTCCCCCGAAAAATTAGATGGCCAGAAAAAGAAATTTATCTTTAAAAAATTATTGCAAGTGACTGGATTCATAGTCATCTTTCTATCTGCAGAAACAATTTTGAACATATCAAATCACTAATTACCTACATCGAAGCTTTGTCTCTACCGTGCTAATAATGTGTAATTGGCCCCTCCTTTTCTGCTAGTTTTCACTATTAAAACAACAAATGAGACTCCTACACCTGAATCTATATGGAGTGTACACGTTCACACACCAGTATACATGAGGTAGGAGCTGGGAAGGAGAATATTTCAAAGCATGCTTTAGTAAGAAGCCAAGAGGCCACGGTCTAAATACATTTTTAAAGAAAAATCAGAAATGCTCCCTTGGAATTAGCTCTATCTTCAGAACTTACACTTAAAATCTTGGGAAATTTTCAGAGGGCAAAAGAATACGGTGAAACTACTTCAGCCAGACTCTGCTGTCCTGAGAAGGCCTGGATCTGTTCACCTGGGAACCAAGACAGGGTTCCAAATGTTCAGAAACAACACGGCTCAGGATTGTTTGGTATAAGCTGAAAATGCAAAATAAAGTCTGTACGTCCTCTTCTGACTGAGGGCTCAAAATATTGGCAAAGCAATATTATTACTTAAGTTAGTGGGGAAGGGATAAATCTTCAAATCTCATACCAGAATTCTGACCTTTTTACTCATAAAATATTCTATCAAGTGGCTAGCCATAAGCACGAGTTTTGGCTTGATTCTCCAGTCCTCAATTGTTCTCTAAGGTGCTGCAGAACTTCAAAAAACCAGTCACATGGTTGGCAATTAGGAAAGAAGAAATAAAGACCCCAAAGACTCCAGTACCTACAGGACATCTCTGAACCACAAACGTTTTCATATTTTAAAGCCACTTTCCCTAAGGCGAGAGGGTGTGGTGATGAAGAGTTCAAACTGTGCCTGAGTTTAAGTCGAGATCACTGCATACAGAGTGTGATCTTGGGTAAATTATCTCTGTCCTTACTATTCTTGTTAAAGGAGGATTAAAAGAGTTGATCCATTTAAAGTGCTTAGAATAACGCCTAGCACATGATAACAGCCTAATAAATGTTGGCGATTACGTGCCCGAAGATGTAATCGGGTTAGCTATACATTCTACCACCTAGGAACCTTATTCCCTTCCTCTCTGGTTTCCGAGGAGAACCTATTGGAGTGAACACTTAAGATCACTCTGCCCCACAGAACGAGTGGCTGATCTGATTGGTCGCACTGGAACTGGCCGGCTTCTTCTATTGGGCCACGCTACCGGTAGGTGGGGTCACCGTGCTCCCTCCTGGGCTAGTCTCGTGGGATGTGTTTGGGGTTAAGCTTTCCTTGGTTTCTCTGCTTGTTACCTACTGGATAAGTTGAAGTCCAGGGTGTGACACAGGAGGCCTGCCCCGTTCTCCTTTGAAAATTAAACGAAATAACAGGGCCATTAATAAAGTCACAAATTAACTTTTTTTTTAAGATGTAAGGGAAAAACAATCCCCATTTTCGTTATGCATCTTCGTTATGCTTTTCATCAAGGGAAACTTTTACATCGTTAATGATAAGGAACACCCGTCCTACGGATAGAAACAATTTTGAGAAGGCAGAGCTTGTTTTATTTTTAGTTCTCCATCTCCTCTTTGGCATAAAAAAATAGGCCTGAGAGTTTTTGTTTTTATATCCATTCCTGTTGTCTTTTGTCTAAGATTCTGAGATAATCTGACCAATATCCTAACGAATTGGAAATGGCGATTTTCTCATCTACATATCTGTGTTTTACTCTCACTGTCAGAGAACCTTCTTTTCACATTCAAAGGATACAGAGGACCACACAGAGAGTGATAGATGCTGAGAGAATAACTCGTGGAATTCCAACTTTCCGGCCTTCATTCTTGATGTTGACTTTGAGTGTCAGTGCAGCCTGGATCCAGCAGGTCAATGTGCCAAATCCAAAGGTCAAGGAAGTTCCGACATTGTGGATTTCTTCATCATTGGTGAGCTAAGGGAGGAACAGATAATGACAAGGAGGCCCATTTAGAAAAGACATGATGGCCAATGGAACACCTGAGGGAGAAAAAAATAGGTAAAATGATGTCTCAATAATGGGATGATAGATTTTGGAAAGAGTAGAGTCCTTCATCTTCACTGGCTCTTTGTGTCTGTTCTCAAATGGTCTGAACTCTGAGGGGGAAAAGGGAAATAAATAGTACTCCCAGACCTCAAAATATTTGTTTAGAATAACCCACTCAGGCAGTGGTAATCTATTCTTTGAATTTATTTTCCAGAAAAGTGTAGAAAAGCAAAAGAAAAACAGTTACACCAAAAAGAGAAATGTCAGTTTCTACAAACATACACCCCAAACTTTGTTTTCCAGACTAAGAAATGAGACCCGGGATCTGGCTGTGTTTTTAGTGATCAAAGAGGACATACTCTAAGCGGGTCAAGATTTTACTGACATAGACAGCTAACAACACTTACTCCTACAAAACTGGCCTGTGTAATGTGACCAATTCATTGTTAATGGGATTTTGTTGAATTTTCCTTTTATAATAATAAGAAAATTGTCACCTAAAAGCTTTTTCCATATTTGTAGATCCATTAAAGGACATTAGTGTTTCAAGATTTCTGGTCAAGGCTTTTATAGGGTTAATAGGTTACAGGAGACCCATTTGGGTTATTTCATTTGAGGGTTAAAGACGTAAACTCTCCAAACCATTGCCTACTGATGTCAAAAATATACTGGTCACTTTTTTTTAATATAGTGGTCACGGGGCGCCCGGGTGCCTCAGTCGGTTGAATGTCTGCCTTCCACTCAGGTCATGATCTCAGGATCCTGGGACTGAGCCCCGTGTAAGGCCCCCTGCTTGTGCTCGCTCGCTCACTCTCTGTCTCAAATAAATAATCTTTAAAAAAAATAATATACTGGTCCCTTAAAACATCTTTAGCAATTATATATTTTTTAATTACACATATAAGAAAATAAAATCTATAGTTGAAGAGACGGCTCTTACAACATAGTAAAATATTTTTTGAATTGCTATTGTCTTCAGATATTTTATTGTTTGACATTGCTGTGAGAATAATGGTTGCATCAAATCAATATTGCTTTCCTTTTACAATTTTTTCTATTGTTTTTGGCTGTAGTATTTTTTCCTCTTTGGAAGAAGCCACTTTTTTCCTCTCTTAGCTCAAAAGACATATTTTCAAATCTTTATTTATTTACGTATTTTTTTAATGCGGAGGACACCTGTATTTATTTATTTATTCATTTATTTTTGAAGATTTTATTTATTTGTCAGAGAGAGAGCAAGAGCACGAGGGGCAGGTGGGGGTAGAGGGAGAAGCAGACTCTCCCCCCCTGCCCCCCAAGCAAGGACCCCGATTCAGGACTCCATCCCAGGACCCTGAGATCATGACCTGAGCTGAAGGCAGATGCTTAATCCACTGAGCCACCCAGGCGCCCCAAATCTTACTTTAAATAACAATTCCTCAAATACAATTTTACTTCTAGGCAATTGGTTTTCCATGTTATATACACAGTCCATTCATTTATTATTTTAAACTTAATTTTAAAAATAGATTATATAATTACATGGTTCAAACTTTAAAAAATTATAGAGTATGGATGGAAAAGTCTGTCTCACACCCCATACGCTAGCCACTTGGTTTCTTCACAGGCAACTAATTTGTTGTTTCCTTTGTATTCTCTGTAGATATTCCAGAAAGTGTTCTTCGTATGTCGTGTCATCATTCATGGTTTTGAGTATTTGTGGTTCATCGAAACAACCCAATCTCTGGACTTTAGGAAAGACTAAAAGGTCTACCCAGTAACTTTCATCCAGGCCCTGGTTTTTATAGAGTTAATAGGTTAATAGGTTTATAAACAGCCCCTACAGCACAGCCAGGCAGCAGCCACTCAGTAAGTCTGGCTTGATAGGGGATGGGCCCTAGAGTAGTAAAAGAGCGAGTGGGACTGCCGATCTGTCAAACGACCCATCGATTCAAAAGTAACTATTCCGTTGCTCCTCTGTGCCAGGCGAAGTGCTGGGGAATGAGTTTTCCTGGTGTAATGAATTACCAGGACTGAGTGGTGGAACGAGACACAGTTTTAGAAAATCCACTACTCTATATTTTTAAATGCCTCTGCCATTTGGACTTCACTCCACAGATGGGGAGAGGTGTCAGGATGGAGGAAGTTTCTCACCAGGGTGTAAAGCAGAGGTTGGAGGACACTGGGAAGGGAACGAGCCATGGGCAATCAGACAACCACTGTTCCCGTGTGGGGGCTCCTCGTCTGTCTTACAAATGGAGTCGTTTGAGTCTAGAGGTGGATGATGGTCTTGGCAAGGGAAATTTTTTTTTTTTTTTTTTAAGTAGGCTCCATACCCAGCGTGGAGCCCAGCACAGGGCTCAAATTCATGACCCTGAGATCAACACCTGAGCTGAGATTGAGAGCCAGATGCTCAACCAACTGAGCCACCCCTAGGGAAATGATTCTTAAATGTTGTGATCTCGGGCTTCTAAATGTCTGGGCAGAAGAGTTAGTGTTAGTAGACCTTTATACAAGTCCTAGGTGTTCTAGAGAAATTCTGTGTTTGCAAACTTGAGTCCCACGTGAGCTTGCTTATATGAAATGCAAGCTTTTATCCAAAAAGGATATTCAGTGTTTAATTTAATTTAATTTTTAAAAGATTTTATTATTTATTTGACAGAGAGACACAGCAAGAGAGGGAACACAAGCATGGGGAGTGGGAGAGGGAGAAGCAGGCCTCCCGCCAAGCAGGGAGCCCAATGCGGGGCTCGATCCCTGGACCCTGAGATCATGACCTGAGCCGAAGGCAGACGCTTAACGCCTGAGCCACCCAGCGGCCCCTTCAGTGTTTAATTTTAGAAAGGCCATGATCATATTAGTTTTCTAGAAAGTTACATTAGGAGACAATTTTTCTATGAGAAAAAGTACAGAGCACTTTGAAATCCTCTGTGGAAGATACACAGCGATTGTAGAGGCTACTTTTCCCCATAGCGGTGCTGTACTTCCAGTGCAGAGTGAGCGCCCTCACACGTGCAGTGCCAACATCAGCAGATGGGGCCGAGGACCAGAAGCACTGACTGCTGGAGGACCTGTGCTTAATAGGAACCACCACTAGCATTACTTAAAAGATTTGTGCAGAATCAGTGGCTATGACCACCCTCTAGGCGAAGGGGGAGAAGGAGGTGAAAAAGGCCAAATGAAGTACCTGAAAATTACCGAGTAAGGTCATCCCAAAGGAGGCCAGACACAGCGCCACCAATCCACTAATATTCAGCCATGGATTTAAAACCTTGGGTTTCAGCTGTATGAAGCGCAGAACAGCTACCACGAGAGCTGGGGAATAAAACAAAATGTTAACATTTAAAAATCTAAATCATGCAGCTAGATTCTGAGGCAGAGTTCTAAAGCCCCAATGTGCAAGATTAAACTTTGCGCCATGGTGCACTTTTAAATCTCTGAAATGGCAGATAATTTCTAAAAGAAATTTTTCACGTGATGCTCATGATCATTTGGATGTTTTACTATGCCTACTTTGGGGGAGGCAGAGAGGAGTTGAAACAGCAGTGCTATATGTTATTTGAGTGGTGCAAGGGTTGTTCACAGAGTTTTCAAAAAACAAGGTCAGCCCAGGACACGTTGGCTTGGGAGAACATTGCAGAGGCCTCACACAACAATTAAGACAGGAATAAAGACAATCCATGGCTCAAGAGTTCACTAATTCACCTCCCCCCCTTTAGTTTCACAGTGTTAGAGCAGACACAGGGAAGAAGATGGGTCCACCTCCAGACACACCCGCTGGTCCCTGTGCCAGAAATCATTCCCGGAGACAGGAAGAAGACAGGCAAGTGTACAAATCCCTTGATTACTGGTTTATTCCCACTTCCCTCTAATTCTATCTGAAGGTGTCCACTGTCAAAGGACAAGGATAGTCGATCTAAATTACAGCAGTTATAGTAATCAAATTATGAAATCTGAATTTTAACATAGCCCTGGGGGTTTGGTATGTACTGAAAATCACGCTGATTATATGATGAAAGCTCAAGACTTCTATGATGTTACTCACTTTGAAAACCCACTCCATCTTTCGAAGCACATTGTTATGGGAGAATCAGAAAGAATGAAGGAATTTACCTAGATTTAAACCTCACTTCTTTTTTTTAAGGTTTTATTTATTTAGGTAATCTCTATACCCCATGTGGGGCTCGAACTCACAACCCTGAGATCAAGAATCACATGCTCTTCAACTGAGCCAGCCAGGCACACCTCAAACCTGTCTTCTAATAGCAACCTTGAGGATGGTCCATACTCAAGCCATGAATATAAGAATCCCCTTTTAGTAATTGCTTAGTGCAGGGGTATTTTCATATTTATACAAAAAGCTGGGAGAGGTTAGTCTACAAATAAGTGAAAAAAAAGTGCTTGCTGTTAATATAAGTTATATCTACATATAAGGAAATGCACTTTCTACTTCCTAAGACAATTTATTTTGACACTAAGTTTTAACAGGGAAGACAATTAGAAATTCAAGAATTATCCTATTTATACAGCAATTAAGTAGGTAATTATTTGCTAAAGGTTTGTATCTTCATTATAGGCCCTTATTAGTAGTCATTAATAAAGAAAACCCTTCCATAAATTTGCATTTCCTAAATTTGCTGAATGTCATAGTGGGAAACTACAAAGTTAAGCTCAGCAAGTTGATTTTCAGTTCCAAGTACCTCTGATCAAAGAGTGGTGTATACAACTTGGTTAAGATTTGGATTTTAGAAACAAAATAGTAGTAAACCGTAATTTATAAAATCTCAAATTGTTCAGCTCTGACTTAGCTTTTAGTATATTTACGCTTCATCTAACTCTCACTAGAAGTCATAGAATTTATAAATGATACTTGAGTTGAAAGAATCCAAACCTAATGGTTTGAGGGACCTAGTTAGAAATTATAATACATCAGAGTCTATTAATAATGACAACAAGTATCCTAGAGGATGAAAAAATCAGCACAACTTCTTCCTACTTTTTAAAATGGGAATAGGAGGAGGAAGTGAAGGAGAAATTCCACATAAGCCCTAAGTGATCATCAGATAAAGAGGTCTCTAGATTAAGACCAGAATCCTCAACACAGGACACCACAGGAGACACTTGCTATTAACTGTGTATGGATATTAGGACATAATGACCAAATACCAAGACAGCACATTTCATTTCTTTTAAAAATGACTAGTGAGGGCGCCTGGGTGGCTCAGTCGGTTAAGAGTCTGCCTTCGGCTCAGGTCCTGATCTCAGGGTCCTGGGATTGAGCCCCTGCTTTGGGCTCCCTGCTCAGTGGGGGCCTGCTTCTCCCTCGGCCACTCCCCCTGCTTGTATTCAATCCCCTCTGTCAAATAAATAAATAAAAATCTTTAAAAACACTTAAATTAAAATGACTAGCGGAAAGTATTACTCTAGCAGCTCTGGATGTCATTTTAATTTGGGGGAATAGGATCGTACTAGAACTTCGGCTTAAGCCCTAAAGCACTGCTGAAGCAGACACAGATGGCTCTCCTTTTTACCTGTCGGGTCAGTTTGTTCCCTTGTGCCCAGAGCAAGAGGGTCAGTGGCCATATTCTGTGTTACTCATTTCTCCCTGGTAAACACAGGACATGTATCATCTTCTGGTCCCAGCCCTGCTAGCCTTCCCACTTGTAATATGATGAGAAATAATTTTATCATGAACAGATGATGAAATTAAGCAGGAAACAGAAACCTACTTGGAGACATGAATTCAACCCAACACTCCTAACTTCCAGAACGGCATTCCAAACACCACACTCTGCCCTCTTTACCTATTAACACCATTATTAATCAGCTCAGACTAGGCAAATTTTCCTTCAAAAACAGATTCTATGGGCAACTGGCTGGCTCAGTCAGTAGAGCGTGTGACTCCTGATCTCAGGGTTGTGAGTTCACCACGTTGGTCATAGAGGCTACACTAAAAAAAAAAAAAAAAAAAGAAAGAAAGAAAAAGATTCTAGTTGAAATTTTAAGGTGGTGGAAATTACAAGCTTCTGGTCCTTTAACAGTTTTATTAACAGGTTTAATAGAGGCAGATTCAGATTATCGGTTATTAAGTCCTTTTCAACCCAGTAGTGATTTAATTATACATGCTTGAGAAAGACTTCTGGGCAGTGGAGTGATTTCAAAGCTGTCTTTATATATGCTGAACAATTTTTTACTACATTAATGTTCTGATCAGAAGATATGTCTTTTAGTTTCATTAAAAATTTTAGATTTTAGGGGCGCCTGGGTGGCTCAGTAGGTTAAGTGTCTGCTTTCGGCTCAGGTCATGATCCCAGGGTGCTGGGACCAAGCTCTGCATGGGGCTCCCTGCTCATCAGGGAGTCTGCTTCTCCCTCTCCCACTCCCCCTGCTTGCTCTCTCTCTCTTTCTCTGTCAAATAAATAAATAAAATCTTTAAAAAAATTTTTAGATTTTATTAACAGTTTTAGAAAAGATTTTTAAAACCCACCCTTCTGTTGTTTATGGTATTTGGAATAGTCCTTTGCTATATAAGTATCCCCTATTTATCTATTTTAAAAGAACACAAAGAGTAGAATAAATGCCTATTTTCTTTACTAAATATTGTGAGGCTGACTGGGCCTTTATTTTTATTTATTTATTTATTTATTTATTTATTTATTTATTTTTAAAGTGGGCTCCACACCCCACGTGAGGCTTGAACTCACAACCCTGAGATCAAGAGTCGCATGCTCTACCGACTGAGCCAGCCAGGCACCCCTGGTTGGGTTTTTAAAGTTCAAACTCAAAACGGCAGCTCTTCATTGCAGTTCTAAATTGGTGCCTGGCCAAATTCTTTGTTCATTTGTTTAGTTTTATTGTTTATGCATCAATAATTCCTATTTATGACTGCAGGAGAACCCAGCAATCAGTGTGTTTTGGCTGAAGGAGGGAGAGCAGCTGCTATTAAGTGACTGAGATCATTCAGCCTATCAGCTTTATCCTCACAACCTGTTCAGGGCAGAAAAGAATATTCCTTTCAAGAAATTTGTCTTAGGTCTCTTTCCCCGCCGCCCTGGGGAAATAAAAGTGCGGATTTGGGACAAAGTGTATAACTAATTCGGTAAAGAAAATACTTGAGTTCGATCTTTGATTAGTACATCAAAAAGACAGAAGATCTTTGCTGATTTTAATAAATGCTACACTAACCTGTAGATTGTAAATTAGAATCTAGATTTCTGCCAAAAAGCAGTGATTTCCAGGCAGTCCATGTTGTTCCTTAAAGTCAATGATGCCATGTAAAGTAAAAGTCCGAGGTCTAACAGGGACTGGCCTGGGGAGATGAAAGCCTCCTCCACTTGGAGCAAGAATCATTAGTAAATGGATTCTTTTTCACTCCCAGAGTTGATAAATAAATAATTGTTGGTTTCCTCCCACTGAACACTAATCTTCATCAGTTTCGTGTCTACCAGATGGCACCGAAATGCCGGAAGACAATAAAGAATAAACACTGGATACTGCAATACCTCAGAGCGAGCGCTAGTAAAGGCTTAAGTGCTTCTTGCGGGAACAGGGGAGGGCCGGAGAATAAGATGATGACGAATGTCCTCTGGAAGAGGGGAGCTAGTTTTCATTACTTTGTTTTTGGAAATGCTTTTATAATTAGTTAATCATCAGCTTTATACCTGGATACATTTGTGAGCTGTGCAAATTGGCATTTTGAAGATTATACACTAAAGACTATGGGGAAATATCAAATTATCTTAAGAATGTGAAGGAAGCAATATGTGGCTTCCACCATGTTCACTGGTGTCTTTAAAGCCCAAGTGGAGGACAAACAGCTTGTGACAGCTTTTTAATAAGGGCAGTCTCCTGTGTCTCGTGATTAGATGAGGTGGTATTTGCAAAGCACTTAGCATCATGCCTGGAATATAAATGACTGCTATTAATTATTGCTATTATTGCACCCCATGGGGAAGATCATATGAGTAGGTACCGACCTGCAGGCCTACGTGGTGTGACTGCAGGCCGACTGGGAAAGGTCCCTGACCTTGCGATTCAAGATTCTCTCCTGGGGCGGGGGGGGGGGGGGGGGGGGGGGGGGGGGGGGGGGACTCTGTGTTCTCTTAAATGCAAATAGCTCCTTAGCAGTCATTTATGCCTTGATGTCAAGAGTAGGAAAAAAAAAAAAGTGAGAATTAAAGCCCATGATAGCTGAGGCTGATGGCAGGGAAGACAGAACCCGAGTGGCCAGGACTGACACTGGTGCCCAAGTGTGCGTCAGCTGCAGTAGGTACCGCCTTTTCCAGAACCGGGGAATAGCCGAGACATGAAAATCCTGCCTACCAAGGACATGACGAGGAGAGTGCTTCAAAGACTCGGCAACTTCGGCATTAGGGTTGTATCTGACCTCCTCCTTAGCGGTGGCGTGGCAGTCCATGCCTTTCAGACACCTCCTGCTCAGGCAAAATGGACTATGTTTTGGGGACGCCTGGGTGGTGAAAGGTTTTGACCCACATAGAGTTAGCTCCAGGGAGGAACTTTAGTAACTGGAGACAAGTCCCCCAGTGTACTTTTCATTGAACTCCACGGGTTCAAGAGAGGCCTCCTAGGCCTCCCTGGGAACGCTCTCCACATTTCTCATGTTCTGAGCCTTCTATACCAAGATTGTGCCTATGTTGCATGTTGGACCAACCATCTCCCTTGATTTTCCAGTGAGTTCTATAGGTCTTTCCTTTTCCTACCGCAAATGTTAAAAAAATAACATCTTAAAAACGAGTAGAACTTTTTTGGGGTGGAGTTCTACATAGATGAAATAATAGGTCACCTCTTTGGGGGACAGGTGCCACCAAGGCTGAAATTCTCACCATCCAAAAGAACCATTTCCAGAAAGCAGTTGTTGAAAAACTGAGCTGTCACCGGCCCAATCCCCTACAGCATGCCAGCGATGATATTAGCCGACCCTTTGAAAGACACCGAGGACACTGGCCTTGGGGAGATGGTATCCAAGGGGGACGTGGGAAAGGACAGAGGGAATGGCTGGTTCCCTCAATCCTCGGAAGGAAATGCTCGCAGAACAAAGGCGACAGGATGTGAAATGATGGTCTTGGGCCCTGAAGGAAAAGAACGGAACGGGGACCAGACCTGAGCACCAAAGGTCTCTTCTTTTTTTTTTTTTTTTTTTAACCTACACCTCCACTTGCCATCTTAGTTATGTGTATACATGTACAGGAGACAGCATCACCCATGTTAATGCTGACCTTTAGCTCTAAAGACAGTGTCTCCACACATCAGTATTTATCACAAAGCCCATGCATTTGTCATCCTTGCCAGTGAAGAAATAAATAAGGCATTCTTCTTGACACAAATGTATTGCACCATTACTACACTGTCATGCAGGAATTTTTTGGCACGTGAAATACAGTATTTCACGTGGCAACAGAAATAAAGTCAAGAAAACACTGAAGTGATAAAGATGATAAGGGGAAGAGAAGATGTAAGGTAAGCAGGGTGAACATGAAAGTGCGAGAAAAAAGACCCTCAAAACAAAAAGCCAGCTTCGGCATATTGACATGATATGATACCAGATTGTCAGCTAAGCCCACCGTGCTTTTGATGTGGGTTTGGGAAGATTTAAAATAAAAAAGAAAAGTACCAAAGCACATCAAGTGTTCTTTCACCCTTCTTACCTAGGAATGCTGCCATGTTCATGACTTGACTAAACACACAGCTTGCAGGAGGCTCGTCACCTGCAATACTTGAAAAATAATGACATGCTTTATTACTACTATCTTAAAATCTGCAACCTTCAATGGTCTGTGTCCCTTCAAAACTCGTATGTCGAGATCCTAACCCCCAATGTGATGCTATGAGGAGGTGGGGGCTTTGGGAGATACTCAGGTCATGACGGTCGAGCCCTTCTGAGTGGGATTCGTGCCCTTATAAAAGAGACCCCAGAGAGCTGTCTCGTCCCATTTCTGCCGTGGGAGGACACAATCAGAGGACGGCCATCTACAGCCCAGAAGAGGGCCCTCATCAAGACCCGACGGCTGGCGCCCTGATCTTGGACCTCCAGCCTCCCAAGAAGCTGTGAGACATAAATTTTTGTTTATTAGCCACCCAGTAGCCCAAACTAAGTCATCTCCCAACTTCTCCTAGGATCCAACAGATCAGAAGAGCTATCGAGTTACCTTATATAGGGTGCGTGCTTCACGCCCGGTTTCCTGGAAAAGAAAAAGCACAAGTTAAAGTACAGTCATTTGTGCACAGTTTAACCTCACCAGTGGCAAGAGTTTTATTAAGTCTACTGATAAACAGTGAATTACCCAGAGATCGGCTTTACCTTTCAGCTGAATTTAATGGGAAAATTTTGTCATCTTCCACAGCTATAAAGTATCTACGAAGAAAGAACAAGTAAAGTTTATAAAACAAAGAAAAATTTTTAAAAAGACTCATTTGTTTCCCAGTTTTACTAGATTAGTCACATTAAATCATATTCATTGTTTTTCCCAGCTGGGAAAAATTTCTTTTGCTATAATGTTTACCTACAGATCACTTACAAGGCTCTTTACAATTCAAATGTGATTAATACTATTTCTTGAATTTTCAAAACACCCTCCAAATTGATGGTAATCATTATAATCTGGAAACTGGGAAAACAAAGAAATAAGACCTTATATAACTTTGAGGAAACTAAAATTAGAATTCAAATTTTCTAATTTCTCAGGAGTGTGTCCACCTCTCTCAGTGAACTGCAAGGGAACTAAAATAATTTGCTGGAAGTGAAATAGTACTTGAAATAAGCAAGTGTGGGAGCATTTTGTGATAAGCTGAGTACCAAACCCAGTCATACCGGACTATGCACTGGACTGTGAATGGAATCTTTAGCATGTGAGAATAATGAGCAAATCTTGAAAACAGTGAATCCCTATCACCAGTTTATAGAACGTTCATTACCGAAAGAACACGGGAACACAAAATAAAACCAGTATTCTTCACTACCTGCTTTGCATAATTTATTACTCACTCTTGCTCTTTACTTTGGGTAATAGAAGGGAAGACAAATGGGGACTTTAGCAAGGTCGAATTAGTAAACACTATTTTAAAGTATTTATAAATACACTTATATAGCTATGCCATATACTATCAAAACTACATTTTGATCTATACTGCGCCAAGTCCTTAAATAATTAAATAAGAGAATACTCACACTATCCATAATCCAGCTGAAGTAAACAAAGTAAATACAAGAGGTAAAAACATCCATACGCTGCACTTCTTCCCATCCATGCCTGTACCACTGAAATAAAATCAACAGGCATTAATAACTAAGGCAAAAATTCACCTTACTCTTTCAGAGCGGAAAGGGAGTTTACTTTAACTGAAAAGGAGTGTATTTTATGAAACCAGGATTCAAATCAATCTATTACTGCCACTTATGCTCGTGGAAATCCCTTGAACAGTTAACAAGGATGATAGTTGTCCAGCATTAGCTTAAATATTCCAGAGCCTTAGTTGAGAACTAAATGGGAAACTTCTCATAAACACAGTTATCCTTATATGAGCATCAATATTTTTAAGCAAGGACAAAAGGGTTGGGGTGAGGACTTTCAGAAGAGCTAGGTACCAAAGTTTATTCCAACCTACTTTTAGTGCGATTATTAACAGTTTTGGATTTATGGCTCTATGGATCTGGCATGTACATATGTCTACAGCTTGGCAGATAAGAATGCTAGAAACAAATGCTTACTAAATAAATTAGCAATGCAGGAGGAAATGACAAATTCTTTGCAAATCTGAACTTTTCTCGTGACACGTTATTGAGCAACTATCTCCAAAGACTCTAAAGATGAATTTTGGGAAAACAATGCATTGTGAATAATTTTAAATTAACTCCAATGAACACAATGGGGAACAAGAACAGATGTCAGGCATTTTGGGTGTTATATTTGAAAGCAAAAATAAATGAATAAAAAGATTCCCCACATAAATGGAAGTGAAAAAGAAGCTGCAGGGGTGTCTATGAGAAATTGACCTCCACAGGTGACCTGCCAAACAGAAGAATAATGTAATTAATAGGTATCTCTAAGGAGCTAGCACTGCTCATTATTTTGAGTTTCCCATGAACCACCAGTTGCTTACGAGTTTGAACCAGCACTGCTATGTATCTGAGCACCTCCATGATATCTGCTTTTGCACACTGACACTCCCTGGACCTCCCAAGTCCTGCGATCAGAGAACTAACATGGCCCTCCCTGGAGGCTGGCGACCGGTAAGGTGTCAGGAAGGTCTTGGTTACCAGAAGTGACCTGCCTGATAAAGTAGATCTTTCAGGTGAGGGGACACACACCCGAAACTAATAATGTATCTGTGACCAGTTGTGGTGTGGTCTAAACAGCCATCTGGGTAGGGATGTTAAATAAATGACAGTAGCTAAGAGTTGAAAGACATTAGAACTGGGGCGCCTGGGTGGCTCAGTCGTTAAGTGTCTGCCTTCAGCTCAGGTCATGATCCCAGCGTCCTGGGATCGAGCCCCACATCGGGCTCCTTGCTCCACGGGAAGCCTGCTTCTGCCTCTCCCACTCCCTCTGCTTGTGTTCCCTCTCTCGCTGTGTCTCTCTGTCAAATAAATAAATAAAATCTTTAAAAAAAAAAAAAGACATTAGAACCACTTTCAATCAATTTAATCCAGTCTACTCCGATCCAATCCAATCCACAAAGATTGACATCCTGCTTGTGGCACATACCATACCAGGTGGTGGAAATAATTGAGGTGAAGTCTCATGAATACAACTATTTATATGTAAAAGTCTATTCAATATAGAAAAGCTACTGTAGGAACCAGCGGTGCCTACCCAGTTTCTGTAATATGGAAGGATGGTGAACATTTGAAGCACACCCACTATGGCTAGTCAGTGTCCATGCATTTATTTATGTCCAGAAAATTGTGGGCTTATAATAAAGCTATCAGTTTTGCTAACAAAAAATAATTTCATCATTGGCCAAAGATGTAGCATGAGTACAGAAAACTGGAATGTGGACTGAGCATGCAAACCCATTATTCCACATCTGGCCCTGAAATCGGATGCTTGGACAGCATGAGCACAGATGAAATGGTTACACTGGAAGAAGAGTTCAGAGACCTAGTTCTCAACCTTAACGTTGCCAGTAATCAACTCTCTGGGTCTAGGCCAGTTACTTACATCTGTAACACCATTTCCCCAACTTGCTGCATGAGGACTGAATTTTAAATGAGGGAGGACATCAAAGACTGTGCCCTCACATGGGAGTAGGACCCTAGAGGTTAACCTAAGCACGGTATCTTCTCTGTCTGCAGGAACAGCATGCTCCAGCACACAAGAATCATCAGCCTGCGGGGAACACATGCCTCTTAACCATTTTTACAATAGAGCGGTGAACAAATCAATGCCAGCGTGTTCATGTACAGGGGGGAATACAGCTGCCAAATGGACAGATACTCACACTGGTTCCCCTTTCGGAAGCTCTATCTGGGCAATCAAAATGTGGAAGCAGGAAAGTAGAATGAAGAGAGTTGATGAGCTAATTCTAAGACCACGGCATCAAGCTACAATAGTTTTATGTGCTTGCTGCCTCTAAAGAGCAGTATGGTGGAATGGAAATGGTATGGTGGTTCATAGGCCTGAAATCTACCTCTGTCACTCACCACGTGTGTGATCTCTGGCTTGTTATTTCATCTCTTAAGCCTTAATAAGTATGCTGATAACTTCATATTTGGGAGGATTGTGCTGAGAATTAATGACAATGCAGGTAGAGCACCTCACCCATAATACATGCTCCGGAAGTGGCAGCCATCCCAAGCAGATCAATGCTGGTGTGAGGCTGAGGTACTTGCCCTCCAGGGCAAGGCTCAGGACAGCTTAATATGATCTTCCTCTCTGGGCTCCTGCTTTTCTAGAAGAATGCAGATATCCTCCCTGACATCCTTTGATATTCTTCAGTATGCATTGCTCTTCTTATCTTATTGTAAAAGCATCTAAGATAGCTAATGGCTACTGTCCTAAGTTATTTTATTTTTACTAGTTTAATTCTTTTTTATTTTTAAAGATTTTTATTTATTTGATAGAGAAGAGAAAGAGAAAGCACAAGCAAGGGGAGTGGGAGAGGGAGAAGCAGACTCCCCACTGAGCAGGGAGCCTGACGTGGGTCTTGATCCCAGGACCCTGGGATCATGACCTGAGCTGAAGGCAGATGCTTAACCGACTGAGCCACCCAGGCGCCCCTACTAGTTTCATTCTCATAGGGCAAACTAATACCAAATTCTGGGAAAACCATACGGTAAGGCTTGCCTAATGATAGATGAAATTGCCCTTTCTTAACCTAAAGGGATGCCTTGGGAGGTAAAAAGAGTAAGTCTATGGATAATGGTATTGTTAGCTTCCAAGGGAACTACTGTGGAGCTTCTTCAGAATTTTACGTTGGTCACGCTGTTCTTGCCAGGGTGGTGATAATGGCAAATTCACATGCTGTTGTAAGAAATAAGACACAGAGATCCTGTATATCCTTCTATCTCCTCGATGGTAACATCCTGTCCAACCATATAGTACAATATCAACAACCAAGATATTGACATTGATACAATCCTTGACTTCATCCAGATTTCACCAGTTTTATATGTACTTCTTTCTGTGTGTGTGTATTTAGTTTTATGCAATTTTACCACATGTGTAGATTTGTATGATCACCACCACAGTCCAGAAGTAGAACATACAGTTGCTCCTAAAAGGGGAACCAATATGACATGAGTTACAGGACCTCAAGAATTTCTTCTGTTGCTCTTTTATAATCACACCCACCTTCCTTCCCCACACCCTCCTTTCTAATCCCTGGCAACCACGAATCCTGTCTCCATGTCTATAATTTTATCATTTCAAAATGTTATAAAAATGGAATCGTATAGTATGCGACCTTTGGGATTGACTTTTTTCTACTCAACGTAATTCCCTGGAGATTCATCTACAGTTTGTGTTTATCAGTAGTTTGGTACCTTTTATTGCTGGGTAGCATTCTATGGTATGTATCTACAAATTTACTTATTCATCCATTACAAGACATCTGGGTTGTTTCAAGTTTTTGGTTATTGCAAGTAAAGAAGCTATAGAAAATTAGCATATGGGTGTTGGTGTCAATGTAAGTTTTTATTTCTCTGGACTAAATGCCCACAACTGCAAGTACTGGGTTGTATGATAATTGCATGTTTAGTTTTTTTTTTTAAGATTTTATTTATTTATTTGACAGAGAGAGAGAGATCACAAGCAGGGAGAGGGGCGGAGGGAGAGGGAGAAGCAGACTCCCAGCCAAGCAGGGAGCCTGATGCAGGGTTCGATCCCAGGACCCTGGGATCATGACCTGAGCTGAAGGCCGACACTTAACTGACTGAGTCACCCAGGCACCCCTGCATGTTTAAAGAATCCATCAACCTTTTTCCAGAGTAGTTGTATCATTTTACATTCCTACCAGCAGTGTAGGAAGGGCTGTAATTTCTCCACATCCTCACCAATGTTATTTTCTGTAGCCATTTGATTTGCATTTCCCTAATGATCAGTGATGTTGATTGAGTGTCTTTTCATGTGCGTATTGGCCATTTATATATCTTTGGTGTTTTAGAGCTTTAGCTCTTCCCTTTTAGGTCTTTGATACATTTTCAGTTAATTTTTGCCAATGGTGTAAGGTAACTTCATTCATTTGCATATCCAGAACAATTTGTTTAAAAGACTGTCTTTTCCTCCATTGAATTGTCTTGGCACTTAACAGGGTCTTTTGCAGAGCAAAAGTTTAATTTTTTTTTTAAGTAAGCTCTGTACCCAATGTGGGGCTTGAACTCATGACTCCAAGATCAATAGTCACATGCTCTACTAACTAAGCCAGCCAGGCACCCCTAGTTATATCTCTGTATGTATGTGTGTATGTATGTATGTATGTATCTACTTGAGAGTACGAGCTGGGGAGAGGGGAAAGGGGCAGAAGGAAAGCAAGAGAGAGAATCTTAAGCAGGCAACACTCTCAGCGCAGAGCCTACCGTGAGGCTCAATCTCAGGACCCTGGGATCATGTCCTGAGCTGAAATCAAGAGTCCAATGCTTAACCAGCTGAGCCACCCAGGCACCCCGTGTTTATGTCTTTTTAAACTATAGATCTCTATTGTCTTATTGAAGTGGGTTAGACCCTAGACAGTTTAGAAATCACTTTGACAAGGATCAGGGAATATGTGATGATCTAAATCAGTTTTCTGAAATAGTAAAGGAAGAGTCTTGTAATGGAG